AATTTTCACCTACATAAAGCCTTTTCCTATTTTTCCTCTCCCTATTCTTGCTGTAATATTTTGTAAATGTATATGGCATTTTTATCCAATTTCAATGAAAACTTTTTGTGTTGATTCATGGTTCTAACAATTTATCATCCATTTTGTTTACAAACACACCATTTCACCAGTAAAATAAGTACTGCAACCATAAAATTGGCTGTCTAGGACCGTTGAATGGTGTAGTAATGTACTCTAACATGCACCAACTCACTAGTGTTGCCAGTTACTGCACAAAAACCTGTATAATTGCCACAGTAGTTAGGTCTCACATGCTTGATGATGGAAAGACATTGAAAATACAGTCCTTATTATCAAAGTATCAGTCAGTGATGCAACAGTTTAAAAGACATTAGGAATACGTTTCACACTAAAAATGTATTTCAACACTTTTTGATGTTTTTAAAATCATTGCATGTCAATAGGATATTAAAAGTGCATTCTGTACATTAAAGGTGATTATGCAGTTTTCTTAAATATCTTTAGTCAAATATTCTAGTTTTTGACATGTTTTGGCCACATGGGCCATCATCAGGTAATTTCCCTTCTTTAGGGAGACCCCTGGACTTTATACTTGTTCACTATGCTTCCATGCACGTCAATATTTGGCACTATATCATGATCAGAATGCTGTTATAATCTATTGCGGCTGTCGTACTGCAATGTATAATGTGTATTAGTATGACTAGTGGAAACACTTTCATAATTTTTTTTATCTTGTTGTTATATATCAGTTGTTGTGATTCTGTGTACTAAACATTTTGTAGTTGTTCCTGCTTATATATCTTTCTAGGTAGCGTGTTTTGTACTATCTATCATAAAGTTCACACACTGTCTGAAATGTTGGGTTGTGTGTCTTCATGTGTACATCATTCATATGTAAATTGCTCCTATGTACAATGTAAATGTGATATATGTCTAGTGCAGTGTTTCCCAACCTTTTTGATGCCGCGGACCCCCTGTACCGAATGTTAATTCACCGCGGCCCCCATAAAACCCAAAATGGAAATTTTTAAATTTTACGAGTACATATCATAAAAATGAAGCAGTAACTTAAAATTTTACAACACTAAATGTGTCATTTATGACAATAAAATACTGTTATAAATGGAGATATTCGGAAGATTACGAACATATCAATTAGGCGTAATATTATGAATTTAACACTCACCTAATGTGATGGCTGGTGCTGTTTTTCAGACGTCAACTTTCGAATGTCAGGATCAAAACTGGATAATTTCAGACGTAGATCTGGCTCCACGTTAAGTCTGTTCCTATATCTGTTTTTCATGTGTACAAGATGAGAAAATGTTGTCTTGCACAGATATGTAATGGGAAATGGCAACAGATGTCTTACAGCCCTTTTGGAAATTTCAGGGTAAACAGACCTAGCTTGGAACCAAAACTCCAGTAACGGTAACGAAGGAAACAGCAATTTGAACGTCGAATCACAGGACAGCTCGATAAGTTGCTCTTCCTCGGCAGAAGGAAGTTCAAATTCAGAGTCTACAAAGGGATTTTTCATCCAGTCGTTATTTTCAAGACCAAACGGAAAATACAGACGTAGTTGAGACGCCAATGACCTCATATGTTCAATCATACTTTCAGCAACATCACTAGAAAGGGGTTGTTCACTGGAATCAATGAAATCACTCAGCATGTGAAAGGAATCGTATTTTCCTTTCTCGATACGGCTGCACCACAAATTTAACTTCTTGATTGTTGCCTCTATCTTGTCTTGCACAGAAAACACGGTGACAGATGTACCTTGAAGGCTCGAGTTAAGAGTATTCAAGATGTTAAAAATGTCCGCCAAGTAAGCAAGAGAGGAGAGCCATGCGAAATCATTTAAATAGTGTGTTAACTGAAATTTAGAGTTTATGAGGAACAACCTTACTTCGTCTCGAAGCTCAAGCAACCGCGTCAAAACCTTACCCCGGGACAGCCATCGGATTTCTGAGTGCAATAATAAGTGTTCGTGATCACTTCCCATTTCATTACAAAGCGCAGAAAATAATCGGCTGTTAAGAGGACGGGCTTTAATAAAATTGACAATTTTTACTGCCTCGTCTAGAACGATTTTCATTTTGGAGGGCATACGGCGTGCAGCTAATACTTCGCGGTGTATGCAACAATGTGTCCATTTAACAAGAGGTGCGACTTTCTGGATACGTGCGACCAAACCATTATGTATTCCCGACATTGCCTGAGCACCATCTGTGCTGATACCTACACATTTTTCCCATTGAAGTGTATTTGTAGTTATGAAGTCATTGACAACTTTGAAAAGGGCTTCAGCAGTTGTATTAAGAGGTAACGATTCACAGAACAAAAAATCTTCACAAACTTTATTTTCGTGTTCATATCGCACCAAAGCTACCAAATTAGCATTATTTGAAATATCGTGGCTTTCATCCAACTGCAACGCAAAATATTCACTATGACGTAACCGTTCTAGCAAAATATCTTTCACATTTTGAGCCATCTCGTCGATTCTTCTTTTCACAGTATTGTCAGATAACGATATTAGAGACACCTCGTTGGCATGTTTTTCACTAAACAAGTTCTTTGTTATCGTTTTTGTAGCAGGCAAAATTAAATCTTCCCCGATTGTATGGCGTTGTCCATTTCTAGCGATCAGAAGGGCGACTTCGTAAGAGGCAAGAACAGCCTTTTCATTTTTCGTTCCACATACAATGTCCTTAACTAAATTCTGTGAACCACAAAGTTGCAGTTTCTTATTTTGAAAATATTCTATTGGCTTATTAACTGATTCGCCATGTTTCGTTTCAAGGTGGCGTCTCAACTTCGACGGCTTCATAGATTCATTCGATAACACTTCGCAACAAAGAACACACTGTGGTCTGTCTTCGCCGTCTTTATTCAGAACGGAAAATCCCATTTGCAAATAAGATGGACAATATTTGCGTGATTTTTTGAGGGAAGGAACTTTATCTGCCCTGGTACTATTTTCGACAACACTAGATCCACTCGGATTATTGTCTGTCTTACGTTTCAGTGATCCACACTTTAACCACCAATCCATATCTAAATAAGATCGTGAACAAACTGAAAATCAGAAGTTTCGTCGTGAACTCAATTATTTGAACAAAAACAGAAAAACTGAATATTACGCAGAGAAAAACACACTTGTATAATATTATAAAAATTCACTGCACAAAAACTAAAGAAACATGGGTTGTTCGCGCTGCCACTGAAATGAATAAGAAACATGGTCAATGGTCCCAGGTTTATTCCCAGCCAAAGAGGGATGGATTTGGTGGGGGAGGAGGGGAGAATGGTCGGACAACAGGTACTAGGACAGCAGTCCACCCTGAAACATGGGTCTGAGATGCAATGGGCCGACAAAAAGAAAATGTCCTTGGAAAAAGCTACACAAATCGTTGGTTATTCACCTCTGCTTTACAAAGGGAAGAAGTAACGGTACCAACAGTCTCGTTAAATTTTACTTCAACCATGGGCCTCAAGAGCCAGAGATATACATTGCAAATATCCCAGGTGTGAGGAACATGATAAGATAAAGTTTAATGAAAATAAACTATCCCGCGGACCCCTTTTGAATTACTCGCGGACCCCTGGACAGGTTGGTAAACATTGGTCTAGTGTGTTCAAATGTTTGCTTTTCCTCCCAATCCTTATGAAGTCCATAGTATGCATTACTTTGCCATATGAGTGTCCTGTATTTAATATGTGGTTTGAATATCCAGATTTGCTACAGTTACTTCTAATGGCTTGAATGTGTTCTCTGTATCAAATCAAATGTCCTTCCAGTTTGACCAATGTATTTCAAAGGGCAATCCAAGAATTTCATTCGATATATGCCACTATTATAAAATTTTTCTATCTCTCTATGTTGTTTCAGTATGTTGCTGATTGTGGTTTTTGTATGAAACGCTATTTAGAGTTGAGTGTTTTTGAATAACTTGGTTATTTGTCTTACTTCCCTTCTGCAACATGTAAAAATAGCCCATTTTGTTTTTTGATGGTTTGGATTTTCCTGTATATTTTGTTCATGTGATATTGGTTTCGTAATTAGATTTGTACTGTATCCAGTTTCTTGTAGGATGTTTCTTATTGTGTTTTCTTCTATTTGTTTTAATTCTCTGGTTATTGGATATGTGTGTAGTTGGTTGAACAAGTATTGTATAGGAGATAGTTTATGTTGGTATGTGTGACATGAACTGTTATATAGATATGTAGATATATAAGCAAGAACAACTACACTATGTTTAGTACACAGGTAGACCGCACCAGTGATACATGCGACACAAAAACATAAGTACACAGAATCACAACATTTGATATATGATAACAACAAGATAAAGAAATAATGAAAGTGTTTATACTAGTTATACTAATACACATTACACTTTGCAGTATGACAGCCGCAATATAATATAACAACGGCATTCTGATCATGATATAGTGCCAAATATTGACGTGAATGGACGCACAGTGAACAAGTATACAGTCCAGTGGTCTCCCCAAAAAAGGGAAATTACCTGATGATGGCCCATGTGGCCGAAATATGTCGAAAATGTATATATACAAATATATGACTAAAGACATTTTAGAAAACTGAATAATCACTTTTAATGTATAGAATGCTCTTTTAATATCCTATTGACATGTAACGATTTTAACATCAAGTTTCAAAATACATTGTTAGTGTGAAACATGTTCCTAATGTGTTTTAAATTGTTGCATTATTGATGGATACTTTGATAATAAGGATGATACCTAAATGCAAAGGGATGCTAAAATATAATATTGAGAATAGGACATATGTGAGAGGAAGATATGGTGAAGAAGGTATTTTCCTGTAATTACTGTACATGTTCTCTTGCTAGCTCACTGGCAGAGACACATTCTGTATTTTTGCTATGTATATTTCTTGGATTCAGAAATATGTTTATGAACTGTCTTTAATTTTTTTCCAGAAATTACACTGGAGTAATATCATCTATTGGAGCTTTGCTCATCATTGATCTTAAAGCAAGGCTCTCTGAAAATGGATCATTCCAGTGTCCATTCAACCTCCGATCCCCACAGCATCCTTTGATTAGTGTGTTGAAACAGAATAAAGATACTTGGTGTGATGTATTCAATATAATGCAGTTTATCTGCGGTCATAATGAGGAAATGTGAGTATATGTTTTAATTAAAAAATATATCAATTATGGAACGTGTAAAACAATGTAAAGAAATGACAGTGAAACCTAATATGAGCTTTGGCCTTCTTGTTTAGATATAGCTACAGTCTTTCTTAAGCTTCAAGAGTGAGTGGAGAAGAATGTATAACATCACACCTCAATCACATTCCCCCAGGGAAAGTCCCCCTGATACCCCTATATCAGTCGCCCGTTTCACTGTGAGTGTTCATATTGCAGATTTGCAGTAAAATTAATTTTATCACTTCCAACCAAAAAATGGAGAATATGATAACCCTCATTTTCCTGATGTTAAATTATCAATGTTTTGTTTATCACTCCAATAAAACCAAGTTACACTAAAAGTACTTTAACCCTTCCGCACCGACATCCGTGTGCTTCACCGACCCTTTAAATAATCGTATGCCATCGACATCTGTGCAGTTCACCGACCTGCGCAGTGTTAGCTTTGAAGGACGTTGCTGACAAAACGAGGAAAGATATTCCAATTTTCTTTTCAGGAGTACATAGATTAGGGTTTCATCTTTCTATTGGTATATGAGTTATTTATTTTGGACGAATTTTTAGCACGGTATTTTTATTTTGTATCGTTAGTGTAATAGTTCGTACTTTTGTCTCACTGCGCCTAGATTTCATTGAAATTTTTCAAATTCTAAGTAAGGAAAATGTATAAAACTATATATCTTTCGACTCTATGGTCTTTGCTTGTCTATATGAGTCACTCACTGAAACCCCAGACGAAGGTTTTCCTTGAATGGGTTGCTGTACAGTCTGCTGACACAATGAAGTAGTCAAACAAGAGGGTCCTTTTTTCTTGGAACCAAATGCAACCTAAGAAAATAAACTTACGAATGATACAGAAATCTATGATGTCATAACACTTTCTTCTCTCAGTCGCGCCATAACCATGGCCTCTACAAGTAGGAAAGTTTTACAGGGCGATGAACTAGAAGAGTTCCTTGCTCACGACTCGGAAGTTAGTGAGTTCGAATATTCGGATAGTAGTGAAAACAGTGATAATGAAATTGAAGATCAGGCTGTAGTTGATGCTATCCAAGATCTTAGTATTGAAGATGACGAC